AGAAAATGGATGAGCCAGAGGGAACACTTGTACTCGTTCTTTCACATCAGTCTCTGTCAAATGTCAAATTTGCTTTTTCACCTCACACACGCCGCCTCGGAGACTGTACACGTCCTCGTCCAGCAGCACAGTTTTTTATTTGCCAATTAATGAGAATGATGTTTTTCTCCTCATTAGAATTCAACACCCTCATTAGAAGGACTCTAGCCCAGGGCTGCTGTTTCCTATGGCGGGTTTCACACTGACAGACCCAGGGACGGACACAGGGTTTATTTACAAATCTATAGAATCTGAAGACGATCTCTAAATATGTTCTGTTTGCTTGGTAAACCGCAGACAATCCAAAATGACTAGTCCCTGTTCTAACAGCTGTTCCCTGGAGACTTCCATTGGACAAAAAAGCAACAAAATATGTTGTGATTTTGATGTTAGTCTACGTGTCCAAGGTCCAGAACATCCTTCATCTTGACCTCAAGGTCTGGATTAAAACCACATTGAAGGCTTAAACTAACAACTAAACTTACTAAAACGAAACTAAACCAGCATGTCTTAGAACAGCTGGGTCACAGCTGAATCTTTATCTGAGTGTCAAAACAACCCACTGCTCTGTGAATTGTGATGGAAAGAGCTGACGCCAAGGGAAAGTCAGCAGCAGGTGAGAGTGAAATATTCAGGAACACGATCGGTGACGACTCAGAGATGTGGTTTACTGTTGTATCTTCACTGAGATAAAGCAAGGTTTAAATGGGAGATTTTAGCGAATAGCAGTGAGATATGCTATGATGTCTGCTTCAGAGACAGTGGACTAGAGCATGGACTAGATCAGAAATGAGCAGATCAGAGTGACAGTTAAGGTGAAGAAGTGACGACAAGGGGTAGATGGAGGAGAGGAGGAGGAAGAAGAAGAAGACGACTCCAGGTTTGTCCAGCGATGACATTTTCTTTGTGACCAAAGTTAAAGGACGACTCCACTCTGCACCACAACAATTTTGTCAAGACATGACGCTGGACATCATCTGTCCTTGTGAAGCTAACAGCCATTTAATCAGACCCTAGATTTGGTCTCAGCATCACAAATGTCCTCCATGCTTCTGTCTCCAGCCTGGGACTTCAGACCAGAGTAGCTCTGTGGTTGGACGACGGTGCCTCCTGCTGGGTTTCTAATGCGTTGTAATTTTCTTCACGCAGCCTTTTTCCTAGATCACATCAAGCCCACAAGGCTGTGGTTGTCTCCCCCAACCACAGCATCATCTTCCTCACCCTGCTTTTATGTTGCCATCACCTCTGCTGCTGCTGCTGCTGCTGTCGTCGGCCTCTGTGTTTCTCTGTCTTTCAGCCTCTGCTCATTTCAAGCTTCATTTAACTGTCATGTTCTTTACACTCTGTCAGTCATGAATGTCTTCAGCTGTCACTGCTGATCTGCAACGTCTGCAACGAATAATTGGCAGGATTGAAAGTTAATAGCAGCTTGGACTCTCACTCACTCTCTCTCTCCCTCTCTCGTATTAAAGAAGGGCTAGGTGAAATAAAAGTGATTCAATCAATTTGGAATCAATTTCGTTTTGATTTTTCAATATTGATCATAGGCCATGACATTGATTTTCCCATGAACCCCAGTAGTCCTGTGCATAATGAAGCCGCAGCGAGTTAAATTTAAAACCTCGTGTTTATGGTTGAGAGAAAAAATAAAGCACATTTATGTTTTGTAACAAACCAGCCATTTTCATTATTTAAGAGCGGACTGAATCTAATCGAATTACAATTTATCAGTTCAGAACCGTACGATAACCTGCCCGACATTAAAGATTCTTAACATTCAGATATAATAGCTAGTAGCTAAAGTAGCTACTATTGGTTGATTTTTTTTGTTTTGTTTTTGTTTATGTAAATACCAACTTGTGGTTCATTTTAGGATTTTATTCTGATCATAACAATAAGTGGGAAAAGTTGAAGTTTGAAATAAATCTGACAAAGCACTTTTCTACTGAAAAGCTGCTTTAAGTTCTGTTCTTTTGCTTTGTTGTAACAACACTGGAGCTTCGGACTATTACTGTCAAGAGAAAGATGATGACATTTAAAGAAAAGCTTCATCTTTCCAAGCCTGGTTGAGGACAGATGAGCCAGAGTGATCAGAAATCTGCATAATCAGTTCTGGGTTACAACTAGTATCAGAACAAAAGGATTCTGTATCAGATAAAGACTCATGTGAGTGTTTGAGTGGCCTCAACGCTGCCCTCTGCCCCTGGGTGACGTGCTCATTAACCAGGCTCTGGATAAACTGTGTCTGTTTATACTGTTGTCTTGTCTGTGTATGTGTGTCAGTGTGTGTGTGCTGCCATAATAATAATTCAGAAATTAAACGTCCCATAATTAAACATTTGCACTCTGAGTAATTACTAATGTTGACTTATGCTCCATGCTCTCTGCTGTAATGTCTCATTATGCTGTTGTAGCTGCTGTAGTTCCTCAAAGCTCTTTGGATTATAATCTGTAACTGCTGTCAGTTTCAGTTGGGTTAAATTAAAGATTTTTTTGTTCACATATTCATTAATTTCTTTCATGTTGCAACTTGTTTTCTGTGTTTATGAGTGGAAATGTTCACCAGTATGGCTACACGGTGGCAAATGTTGGTAGAACATGGTGCACCAGTTTCCATTCCCAGTTGATCTTTCTGTGTAGTTTGTATGTAAAAAAGGAATGGACGTTTCACCCACTAGGTGGCAGTGTGTATGTGCAGGTGAGGGGGCGAAGTTATCGTGCAGACTTACTATTCTTGTTATAAAATTGTTGGGAAGTTTAAATGAGTTAGTTAATTAATTAATTAGTAGTTAGTTAATTAATTAGTATCTCAAGTTTCAGGTGTTCTAAGATTGAAGTACATTTTTAGACATTTTGTTCTATATTTTAAGCCACTATAGTAAAATATAATAATAATATAAGAATTTTTCAAAGTACATCATCTTTCATACTGAAAATGAATACAAATATGCAAATAATATATCGGTTTTTTCTCTACAGTCTAACACCACAGAGTTCGGAAACCTCTGTTGTGGCACACTAGAGATTAACAGCACCCTCTGCAGGACAAGAAAAGTGGTTTGTGCCTAAAGATTCATTGAATTTTACAGTAAACACATTATGTTTTTAAAACTCTTCTTTTGAATATCTGCAGCTCGGTGCCAGAGATGGGGTGAGGCTGGTGGACAGGGAGGGATGTGGAGTTATTATCAAAGAGGGCACAGAGCTAATGAAGACACCACAGGGGCAGGAACAACAAAACCACCAGGACGCCACTGCTCCTGAACCAGCTGAACATCACTCATTACGTCCTTGATCGGGCAGCATATGTCCTGCACACACGTCGTCATCTATGCTACCAACGTCAATAATAATAATTTCTTATGTATTTATAATATAATTCAGTGCTAACAGTAATGGTGCACAAATATTAATTTTCCAGCTTGTTTATTTGACACTCCTGGCTCACACTCTCATCCAGAAACACTTCTGCCTCTGTTCCACTGTGTTACTGCGGCTACAATCACACCGCTATTGTTGCTTCCATTTTTTTTGTATTGTAGTTTAAATGCGACCGCCATTAAACTCTACTGAGAAGACCCCCCCCGCAGTGACCTGCATGCACAGAAGAAGACGAGAGCACGTTCACACCCCAAGGCTAATCTGCGCTTGGCATCAAAATTTGCTTTTTTAAAGAGGTCGCCTGACCTCATGTTCAACATACATCTGTTCCCCAGGAGGATTTCCATCTCCTGCCTCTTTAAACGTGCTGAAATCAATAATGGCTGGACATCAAACAACATCATGTCAGTTATTTATCAGAAAGCTGCCTTTGAACCGTTCTATCCAGTGCCTCAGTGTGGGGAGGGGAACAGCTGAGGGAAATACAGGAGCTGTAGTATCGCTGAGTATCAGTGTTGAAAGTGTCCACTCTGAAGGTTCTGGACAGCCTGGCTGTATGTCTGGACTACTAACTCTCCTGAGATAGTCCAGGATCAAACGTATTCAAATGGCTGCATTTGCCTCGGCCTCTCCTGTATCTAATTATCCCACATACTCCTGACAACCTTGAAAATTGTTTAAAATTCACCAGACGAAGGCAGGACATCAGGATGTGTTTTCAGCTGTTTGCTCTCTGCCACTAACATGCTGCCTGCAACCACCTGACAAAGGTTACAGGGATAGGGGAGAGGGGAGGGAGGGTTCAGTTGTTAGAGTCTAAGGTTTGAAGGGTGACTCTGGCTTTAGGAAGTCAAGAAAAGACCAAAAAAGAACAATCAAACAAGGGAGTGAGGTGAGATTCACACTCTTTACAAGCAGCCGGAGAACACGAGTGAAGAGTCGAAATACTACAATAATAACCAACGATCCAGTTCATCTGAAGGTGACCTCTGGAGGTCAGCTCAGAGTTATTTTCTCCAGCCCAAAAATGTCAAGGTCAAGGTCAAGGACACCTCACTGCATTCTATGACCTCCAACAGTTGGGAGTGAGTCTGCCGAGACGGCACCAACATTTGAAAAACATCACCTATAGACAGAAATGTGTAAAGGTTTTACAGAAGTGTATATATACAGTACTGAGTACATTTTCAAGTATCACTAATATACAGTAAATCTGCAGAGGGCACAGCTGACAATTTGTCGGTAGTGGAATGCAGAGTCTATATACCTAGGACTAAAACGTATCAACGTATTGAAAAACATTCAAAATATTGGAATTTTTCAAACTGTGGAAACATGTAGACAGTCATCCTGCAGTGAAATAAGCTTCTTAGACTTACAGATACACAAATGATGCATTAACGTGGCCTGGGACACATTTGAAAAGTATGGGAAAAATAAAATCGAATCTGGGCCATTTTTGCCCGTTGTGTGATCATACTACGATTTACTTTGTTTCTACTGCCCCCAAGTGGACAAACAAGAGACATTTTGAACAGCGGGCTAAAGCAGAAACAAAAACAAGACTCAGAAAGCTTGAATTCTGTATGTATGCTTTTTTTAATTCAGCCAATAAATCACTGTTACAAGAGTGTAATCCACGCAGTTTACCATCCACATACACACAGAATTTTATAATATTACAAATAAAATTAAAATACACTCTGTGCACTACAGATATAAAATGATCATTAGGCCACGGCTTATCCATATAATATTGGATAAAAAAAATAGAAGTGTGGCAGAGATACACTACAGCGCTAAACATTAGTTAACCTACAGTTTGAAAAACTTCTCTAAAACAGAAATATTCAATCTTAAATTCAAAGAGGGAAAGGCTGCAGTGTGTGTTTAGACTACTGACCTGTGTGAGAAGTTAATATTGCATTACATATTACAATTCCCAAACATCGGTGTATTATATGTACATAAAATACAAAATTTAATTTGTTTTTTGTTTATAGAAATGATGTCAGTGTGTGTGGACATGCACTGTGTTAAGGCAGTTACAGGAGTTCGCTGGTGAAAACGTGTAAGGTGTTTGTTACAGTGCATTCCAACAAGGCTGGGCTGAGATCTAATGAACAACTCTGGTATGATGTACATGTTTTCTTAGACAAAACATATAAAGTTTGAGGACTTAAATATTCACTCACTACTGACCTCAGTATGTTTTTAGAGGAGAATGCGGATACAAATAGAAACAAACAAAAAAAATTAAGACAAAACTCTATGCATTTTCATTTCATCCACATCAGACATCCATTAGCTACTCTTCACTCTCTCTTCAGTAATCGTTTCCACACTGATCACAACAACAACACAATGATGGTGACTAAGAAACTGAATAATAAAGTGCTGCTACAAAAAAAAAAAAAAAAAAAAAGATAACCTTCCCCAAACAATGCACTGACAGGAATACGAGTGATACAGCAGTTACAGACAGTGCCTTGTACAGCACGGTGATGTGAGGAGAGCAACCACATGGTTCACTCGTTTCTTGTTTTTTGTCTTCTTTTTGTCAACAGCCAATGTCTGCAGTGAGTGCACAACCACAAGAAAGACACCATAACGCAATACTGCTGGAAACGAGGCACAAAAGGAGCGTCCACCAGTACAAGGAACACTGCTGGTTTTATGGTTAGAACTTAATCGTCAGTAAGATTGATATTCATTTTTGGTCCCTCGTAAAAACCACGTCACAATTTCTGACAATATTTTGAGAAATAATTCCACGGCTCCTGTTCTGAGGTTGTCAGACTTTAAAGGCACCACGTGTCGTTTCAGCCCAGAGAAATACTACAAGGCTTTACTTCTCAAGGCTGACACACACTGTGACAGGCTGGAAAGTTGCAGGCAGAAGGAATGATGGTTTCAGACAGGCACTTAAACTCACAAATGGTTTGAGAGGCAGAGCTGATGTGGAGTGTGTACTCTTTCCACACCAGAGGAAATCAGATTGGAGAATGTTTTACTTTAGGCCACTTGGACGTGACGCGTACAGAGATTTACAGCCAACATTTAGAGCCAACCTCTCAGCTGTTCTGCTAAAAACTGACGCTGTGCAGATGTATCATCGATAAAAAAGACATATTAATATATATGACCAAAAATACAGCAACAAGTACTGTGTTCTACAGTAGAAAGGAGTAAATCAGTAACAGATAACATTTGACTGACAGATTAAAAATTCCTCACAGTGAAAAACAGCATACGACAGACCTGGAGTGTTCAGTAACTACTAAAGGCACAGAAACTTGTCAGGCACAATTTTTTCCATCGAGCGCCCCCATCTGATGCACAGAGATAGAGGATTTACAGTGCAGGAGTCTACAGTGATACAGCATCCAAAGAAGTATTTTTTAGAGACCAATTCTACAGCTACGGTTCTCTTTGACCAGGAAATAAAAAAAAAACTGTAACAGGCTGCTAAGGACAGAACGTAGGCTAATCAATAAATATATTTAGTCAAACAAGCGTTATGACGGTTAAATTGATGAAAACACTTGCTTTCTTTCTTTAAAACTTTGTTAAAAAACAACCTCCCCTCCTCCCCCATCCCAGTCTACAGCTGTCAGACAACAGCGCTCACTGAGTTTCTCTCTCATATTAAAAAGGAGCTGCAGGAGATTTTGGTGTTGGGAGAATCAAGTGGGACTGCGACCCCGAAATGTGGTGACAGTGTGGAAGTTAAAAAATAAAAGTCTGTCCTAGAGCTGGGAGTCAGCTCCCAGACTGTTCAGCTCCTCCGGGGAGTGCTTTTCCACGTCCATGGCGGCTGTACGGCGGAAACCAGCCGAGATCTCGTCAAATGTCCGGCCCTTTGTCTCTGGCACTTTGAAGTAGGTGAAGATGAAGAAGAGGAGAAGCAGTACGGTGAAGATGATGAACACATACGGGCCACAGATGTCCTGCAGAATGGAGTAACAGCAGATGTCAGTGAGAATTCTCAGAGCCTTTAATGATGTAACAAAACACAACATAATTTAACCATTCACTAAAAAAGTATTTTTTACTTTTTTGAAAGAAAAGAAAAAACACTGAAGATAAATAACATATCACCATCATCTGGCAGATGAGTGTAAATGCATCTTCTGATACCATAATACATAATACAAATAATAAGAATAAATATGTTTATATTTTTGCTAAAGTTGAAACAAACACAGTTCATGTTTTAAACATGTTTTTTCATTTATCATGGAGTTTCATTTACTAAAATGTGACTGATCTTCACAAAGTAATTTTATGTCCACAGTTAAACTGTGTTTTTTAAATTAAAGTATAGTATTAATTTCTGTGTTGTAACTGACACCCTTTGACTCACCTGTACATATTGGAAACTCATTCCCACTATGAAGTTGGCGGTCCAGTTGGACAAACCAGCCAGAGCTATAGCTGAAGGTCTGGGTCCCTGTGAAAACAACTCAGCCACGATGAACCAAGGGATGGGACCAGGTCCGATTTCGAAGAAGGCCACAAAGGCAAAAATGGCCACGATGCTGAGGTAGGACATCCAGGTGACCTGGTCCTGAAATATTAAACAAGAAGTTTGATAAGAAGACTCTTAACTAAAGTTGTTTAAAGATTCACCAGGGGGCTGGTGTTTGTGGACATACCAGCAGAGCCACAGCAACAGTCATGAGGACAGCGGATCCAGCCATTCCCAGCAGCCCCACCATGTGGAGAGACCTACGTCCTGCTCTTTCTACAATAAAGAGCTTAAAAGTAAAATAAAAAAAGAGAAAGTGAGTCAACATTTACAAAGATCTGGTGTTAATAATTGAGTATGTTTTAATCCAAATCCCAGGGGGCACTGTTTCCTCTTAATCTGACTCCAAAATGAGATTTTTTTTAGAATTTGTACTGTACTAAATCTGTGTTCACACTGCAGGCTAAGTGGCTTCAAGCGGAATTTCAACCTGCAACCCAACTGATAATGTCTTATTGTGTGTAAGTGAATGATTTTATTTAAAATGTGAAAAATCACATAAAAAAACCAAACAAATCACGTAAATAAACTTCACACTGTACTCACCGACACCACAGTGAAAGCTGTGTTCACTACACCAGCACCAATAGTGGCGTAGACCGGCTGCTCCACCCCAGCTGTCTCAAAGATTTTAGTAGAGTAGTAGAACACCTAGAGAAACATGAAAAGGTTTTGTTTGACCCTCAGCCTTTACTGAATATCCTTCATCAATTCCTTGGTCGAGTCAAATAAACTCACAGCGTTGATGCCTGAGAGCTGCTGTGAGAGCTGCAGGACGATGGCGACGATGAGCGGCTGGCGGTAGAGGGGCGACGTGACCAGCTCCTTGATGGTGACCTTCTTCTCTCGCATCATCTGCCGACTCTCCTCCTTCATCTCCTGCATGTCAGCACTCACGTCTGAGCAGCCCCGGAGTTTCTTCAGCACTAAAATTTGAAAACACGTTGGCCTGCTCTTTAATTTCTATGGACTTCAGATAATGATGTCTTGACAAATCTTTATTTTTTCTACTTGAGTCTGCTCCAATCTACTGAAGCACCCTGATAAAGGCATATGTTACCACACACTCACTCTGCGCACCCTGGGAACGTCTTCTGTCAATCCCAACACCTCGTACAAGACAATCCAGGCTCTTCTCATGGATGGAGCTACTGAGCTCCACCAGAACAGAGGTGTCCCTGTCTATTATCAAAAAGCTCTTGAAGACCCAGCTATTCGGAGAGCACTTCCTGTCCTAGCAGCTTCCTGTACCTCCCCTCTCCTTCTGCACACCCATCCTAGTTAAGAAGTCCCACTTTCCTAACTAGCAGTCTCCTTCCAAGAGTTCCTCTGTGTAGCTTGATTGTTTATCATCCTCTTGGAGGTCACTTTGGACAAAAGCATCTGGTAAATGCATGGATGTAAATGTTTCCTGACCCAAACTATGCAGTTAAACTAAGTTAGAACAGTGACTCTGTGTGTGTGACCTCACCAGTCTTGGCCTTGTTCTCTTCATTCCTATTGATGAGCAAGAAACGTGGGCTCTCCGGGCACATGGGCAGCAGCACACACTGAATCACTGCAGGTAGGAAGGTGAAGCTCAGGAGGAGTGGCCACAGGTGCTCACTGCCCATGATGATGTCCAGGCCAAATACCTGGACCAAACAAAGGCACGCGGTAGACATAGATATTTACTAACCAAGTCCGTCTTTTTCTAAACAACCACAAATCTTCTGTCAAATAAAAATAAAACTAATGTTCAAACAGCCCATCATGAAAGATATCAAAAACTTACATTTTCATAAATATCTAGATAAACGTCTGCCCACTGACCTGTGCAATTAGGATGCCGACCACGATGCCCAGTTGGTGTAGTGTTCCCATGGCTCCTCTCAGAGCCGTGGGAGAAACTTCACCCACGTACATCGGTACAAAGCCTGTAGAGAGACCAGAGTAGAGGCCGACCACGAAACGGCCAATGATGAGCATTTCCCAGGAGGCGGCCATTTTTGAAAAACCCATCAGTGCTGCTGCGATGAAGGCCAGGACGTTGACAATGAGCATGGAGTTCTTTCTGTGAACACCAAAGGTGAAAGGTCAGTTCAATTCTATTCTATCCTGTGTCGTTTGCATCTACATTTAAACATTTACATTTATATTATATAAATCAATTTATTTATTATTGAATAAAATTGGGGAATCTTTTAAAAAAAACAACAAATAAACCAAACAATTTCACACAGTAAAGTAAAGCCACTGATTTAAAACTCCCCAATGTGATCTTACCTGCATCTATCCTCAAACAACTAAAAGCAGGTCTAAAAGTAATTACTCTGACTGTTTTTGACTTGTTTTTGCTCCATGAAAACCTCAATTAGGGTTTTTTTTTACCTTCCAAAACGGTTGACAAACAGTCCAACAGAGAAGGAGCCCAGGATTCCTCCCACAGAGAAAATGGCCACAGCCACAGACCAGATGGCTGTTTGTGAGCCTTTGGTGATCTCTTCATTGTAGCGCTCCTTCCATGTGTCATTGATGAACTGCTCAATGATCTGCAAAAGTCGGAAACGTTTTTAGTTGTTTCTTTTTTTTTTAAATAACCAAATAAAATGATGACATTAATGATTCACTTCTTTGAGCAGTGATTACTGAGGGAGTCATCAGCCCACCAGTCTCCCTGTATGTCACTGAATCAATGACATTAGAATCAAATATAATCAGATCACGAGCTGTGTTTTTTTCTCCTGCTCATTCCCATATAAGGTGTAAGCTGAGCTGTTGCTAAGTGACCAGCTGAGGGCACCACTGGCTGATCATTATCATTTCCAGGCAACCAGGAAGTTTACCTCCCCTCCCCCTCTTTGTCTCCATTACAGAACACGTTTTGTTTGTATGTTGACAAACACACCCAGCAGAGAAGCTGACACAGTGTAGACAGACGTGTGTGTGTGTGTGTGTATGTCACGGTGAGACGTCTCATATGATTCACTGAGGTCAACATCGAGTCTCTGACATAGCACTGCTGTAACCCAACCCTTACTCCACTTTGGTCATGTGGCTCCAGTCACAGTCTAACATCACATATCTGTTTAGAATGACTTGGCTGCTGTCACAGCTCCATGTCCTGCTCAGGAATGAAATGTGGGCCACATATTTGGCATACGTCCTTGACAGCCTGTTAGAATTGCTGTCATTTATCAAGGGTATACCACTGGCGCAGGAAGTCATATAGAGTCACACGGAGAAAGGGTTATGTCTTTTATCAAGTTACACTCACAAGACCTTGCATGGTGATAAAACAAGAGCATCAGCGTGTATGTGTTGAGGCACCATCTTCAGCCAATCACATCCAACTTTTCTGACTTTGTTTGGCTCTGTGTGGATGCAGTGGATGCAGTCAAGGGTGAAATTGCATGATAATTTGTATCATGTAATTAGGGTAGACTAATGAACTTTGCAGATTAGAAGGTTTAATATGATTAATCACAGGGCAGTGGTCAATTAATCATGATTAATTGCGATAAACTGACCTTCTTAAATCTGGCAGTAAAACTTTGATTTCTGTCTACTGCTGGGACAGAAAGACATATACCAGCAAGTAGATGTGTTGGTTCAAACTTGGTTTTATTTGCGACTAATCCAAATGTGGTAATTATTAATGAGAATGTAATGTTGAGAAAATAATGTAATTGTCCAAATTTAGCTTCCTGGCGTTGGTGGATTTTAGTCATTACTGGTATTATGAACATAAGTAAGTGAAAAAAGTCTGACAAAAACTCAGTTTCCCATCACAGTTACATAAATGGCTGTTTTGTCTGAAGACTCAATAACTGTGGTAAACAAATCTTCCCAGAGTGAAAGAAACAGCGCCTTTGTCTTCACAGGAGGCCGGTGGTTGTTACACACGAACCAAAAAACAGATATTGTGTGTTTTATATTTTGGGTTTCATCCTGATTTAATATGAAGGAGCTGTGGAGACCAAACCAGCACCTGGTTTTCAGCAAACAATAAAACAAGCTGTGTATTCATACCCGTGTGTGTGTGTGTTTAGTGGGAACTGGCTATTGGCCAGTGGACCAGCATGAGCACTTTGGTGTTCAGTTTGGATGTAAAGGTAGAGAAAACTAAAGTTTGATAAAATGTCCTCCAGTATTACATAGCTTTACAGACACTAACAAAGCAGGAAGTGATATGAGACGATTGAGACACAAAAAAATCCTTGCTCACCCCTGTTTAAAGGGCAGCTTTGAAAACCCAAGGCCTCCCAGATTACAGGACCTCAGGAGCAGGAGAGGAGTTGCTGTAATACATGCGTCACAGTCTTTGACAGCGGCAAACCACACACTAACACAGAAAAAACGTACTAGTGATGTCCTGAGGAGGAATCTGCCCTGGTATATTACGAGTCTCGTCACTGGCCATTGACCAAAACAAAGAATTAGGAGCCAGTTGAACAACTTTTTCGTCACCTCAGTGCCATTTTAAGCCGAGC